GTACTCAACAGAAGAAAAAAAATGCATACAGATTTGGAACAACTTAAGTGTGAGTAAATAAAGAGAGAATTTTAATTTTTTGGGAGAACTATCCCTTTAATCATTTATTTTACCCATGTTGAATAAGCAGGGGGTAATAGCTGCTTCACGACCAATTTGAAAGTTCAGTGCTACTGCCACTAGAGGGGCGGTTGAGGTATTTCTGGTTTTAGTGCGTTTAAACCATTATGAAGAAACACTTACATTTCATAGATGTGGATGTTGGCTGGAATGGCACTGATGAAACCAACTAGCTTATGATTAGAGTTCACTCTCACTCCACAATGCCACTGAGGCAACCAGCCTGGAGGACGCAGAGCCCTGAGACAAAAACAGAGTACAGCTAAACTGAGAGACGAGGACACATTTCAGTTAACTTTTAGAAAAAAATAAAAATACAGATAGCCCTTCAGATACAAGACCAAAAAAAAACACTTGACTTTTCAAGCCAACATTCTTACCAGAGCAGAAATTCAGGAGAGTAATCAAAACGAAACATGTTGTCATCATCCTCCACATAGTTCTCATTCAGGAGAGTGTACAACTCTTTCAGCTTCAGAGAGAGAATGAGAGGAAACAGAAAACAGCTTTAAGACCGAGTTGTGTCCAGGTGTATATTTGTATGTATAACATATCGAAAGAGAACTTTAGTGGTTCGTATGTCATACCACTTCAGTGTTTCCCAGATCGAGAGTGTCCCAGCTGAAGCCCTGCGGGAGGCTGTAGGGCTCCTCTCGTATGTTATCTTTATCCGCCTCAATGCAGCCATGTGATATCACAGTCTCTCCTACAAACAAGCAAACAGCAGAATCAGACTTCTGTCATCAGGCAATTCACCAAAAACTTCAGTTTCACACAGTATCATCAGTCTACACTGTGCCACAAGTCATGAGTCTCAAGAAAACAGATGTTGTACTGCCAAAAACTAAAAGGAATTACTAAAAGGAAACAAGTGATGTCAGGCCAAGGAATAAGTATAAAAATGAAAGCAAATTACTTTTAATATTGGATTTTAAAAAACGTGCTGCGAGTATAGGGGCACAAATAATCAATACCAAGTTTAGGAACAGGCTGAGTGTCCCAGAACTGATAACTGCGCCGTGTGGCTTCCTCCATGGTTTTAGCTGGACCCTGTCCCACTGAAAACAGCTCAATAGCCTTCTGGATCTCCTGTAACTTATCCGCAGGGAGGGAGTTTACCTGAGGAAGAGACTAAGACAAGTGAAAATGGGAAAAAATGAATTAAACGCTTACAAAAATACTCTGGCAATGCCATGGTGCCATATTATCAGTAGTAATTAATACTTCAAAGGATACCATGGCATTCAAAATACTTCCTGCACTAAAATATAGGTATAATTACAAATATTTTAACTGTACATGAGTACACAACGACTTTGGGACAGCACTTGTAAAGAATTGTATTTTCTTATACTTTAGTCATGTATCAATATTACATTTCAGGCTGATACTGCTAAAGCTGAAATATAAGGCGGCAAAGGTAATCTAGATGTAAACAATCTTGTGTTAAACACACAAAGCCATACAAGCATACTCACTTTGGCTAGCGGATCCTGTTCTGCATCTTTTCCTCCAGACTTGTCTTTGTTCTTTTTCTTCTGTTTCTTTTTCTTCTTCTTGGCACCTGTCTCCCCCTTCTCCCTGCGGGCCACATGAACTCAGTTGACATGGGCAGATATAGTGAGAGTTTATGTCCACTAAGCACTAACCGCGGCTGATGCAGGTGAAAAGGCAACATCTCAATAGAAACATCACTGTTCCTGATGCAATCAGCAGTATTTTAGGATGACAACCCCTCACTAGTGTACAACAAATCTTATATGCTGGATTTGATTTTGATATTTCTAATAAATAAACAGGAATTTCCACAGAACAAAGAGAGTTATAAGGACAGTTCACCCAAAAATGGACTTAATGCCATCTTTTACATGCTGTTTTAAAAATTTAAATAAAAGAAGATATTTTGATAGATATTTGGAAGAAAATATTTAGAGATTTTAATAAAGCGGAATCTGAGCTTAAAAGGAAACGATACAAAGAAGGGGAAAAAAAGAAGATAAACCTAACATATAACACTAATGTCTCTCCATCCCAGCATGCAATTCAACTCATGCTTAAACTACACAGACACAAGAGCCGAGCCCCACACCAGTGGTCGAGCTGGAACGGGACGACTTACAGAGATGCACAGCTAATCCTATTAATGCTCACGAAGGGAGAGAAGTGACAGAGCTGAGCTACATTTGTTAATGGGGGACAGATGGTCTATCACATGACCTGCAGAAAAAGCATGCTTTGTGTGTGCGAGGGGAGGTGGGCTATATGACAAAGACTGACGGATAAACAAGCACCCCTGTGACTATTGCTTTGACAGCCATCTATCCCTAAAAAAGAGGGGCTTCTCTTCTTTTACTCTATACTGCTTCAATAAATATAAGCTGCAACGGAGGATGTCCTCTTAAAGGGGTGGCTGTTAAGCTTTTTTCGAAGGCTTGATTGTGTTTATGGGGTGCAGCGTAACATGTGTCCATGCTTCGTTATATAACGTGCTACTTTCACATATTTTACCTTTATTCTACAAAGCGGTTTCCGTTCTTGTCAAAAAAGGTCTGTTAAGTTCCTGGTTCTATGAAGCCCCTCACTAAAATACACAATGGGCTCAGAGCTCATTGTAGCCCCTACCAACCTTTTTTTTTTGCAGTCCTTGAACAGCGATTTCTTTAAAAGAAAATATCTCCGTTTGCATTGAACTTTGAGTGTCGTAACGTTGCTGACAGTGTTTATGCTCTAACAGCAACATTACACACTAACTAAAGTTAAAAAAGTGAAATCATATAACCAACCACCACTTTAACCTAGTGGACAATAGTATAGTAGATTTAAATGATGTATGTCTAATTTGACTGAAACTGTCCTAGTCTGGTCGGGGTAGTCTTTTGGCTGGTTTTGGAAGTCTTTTCTGGAAAGATGGTTAGGTTGAGAGATCCAATTATGACCAGATGAAAAACAGGAAAACGCATTATGCAGCAACATGTCATTTTTATATAATTTTAATGCAGGGAGGAACAATAAAAAATTGCTGAAATTTTTGGATTTAATTGAAATTAACGGAGGGGATTTTGGACATCTCGTTTTATCACTTCATAAATCAGAAAATACTGTTAACAAAGGCAGCATCGGTGAAGACAAGACACCTGAGAGTGAGGGCGAACCGAGGGCAGGGTGATAAAAACGTTTAAGGATGCCCCATTTGCTACTAGCAGCAGTCAAGCTAACTAGATCACGTCAAGCCATCGGTTAGCGACAGCAAATCCATATTACTAACAACCTAGTGATCATAAAGGCCTGCATACCGGGTTTGAAAGCGATTTTGCGGGTTATTTATTAATACCGGTCAGTTTATTGTTGTTACAGGACATGGAATAGCGACTTTAAACGTAATAGCTTATTTGTTTTCTACCAAACCAAGAATTGTAGTGAGGCTTTTAAACCTCTCACACAAATGCCAATGATCGTATAGAACTGGCCATTTGGAACAGTCCTTTTGTTTGATTGACAGCGTCTGAGCCAATCGTTTTAGAGATCCGTCCGTCACTCAAGGCAGTGACCCAATAGCATAGGAGAAGGGGGCGGGCTGATATGCTGTTAGCGTGCCACAGCCTAGTCTAGTCTTTTCGGGCCTTGTGGAAGAGTATTTTATATTTACGAGCTAACAATAAAATGCATGCACACTCACCCGTCATCAGAGTGATGCTCTTCATTTTCACAGTTGCTGCAGTGTCCGTGATCCACTTCTACCTCAGTTTCTTTCTCCAGCTGCGGCGCTGTCTCATTCTCATCCGCCATCTTTAACCAGGAAGTGAGAATCTCGCTCTGCGCCCTCACAAGCCGTAAAACTATTGGTGGACTGCCGCAAAGCCCGATGGTTTCTGTAGTTCTATTCTTCTTCTTCTTCTTCTTTTATGGCGGGTGGCATCCAACGTTAAGGTGCATTACCGCCACCTACTATACTGA